AATAAAATGGTAAAATACAAACACTTAAGGATAATTTAAACACACTAAAAACAGAAAACACTTAGAAGGGACGAAACAAACATTGAATTAAAAAGGGGGAAGGACTTTAAAGCACTACATCATAGTCTTGGGCACAATGAGTTTTTTATTGAGATAAAATAAAATAGATATATAACACTATACAATAATCTTCCCTAAATCCATAAATTGTTGACCCTTCAGGTCTGTTTCTGTTAGGCAGAAAAGATGGAGGTATTGCAGCCTTATTTTTTTTAGTGTGCCCACATAAGTCAACTTTTTCTTTCGCAATATATCCACTAATTCAATAGAATATTTCGGTTGCTACCAAAGAACTCCATCTGAGTCTTTTCCGCTGTATATATAAGCATTATACAAATAACCATTACGTGCATACGTAAGACACTGTATTTTGAGTCCGTATTTACCTCGAAAACTTACAAGCATTTCATCAACTGTGGCAGATTGACCAAGTCCGTATACACTTTGACAATTTTGTATAAAAGTATTGAATATAAATGAAATAGCTGCAGTTGGATCATCTTTTTTGCGTTCCTCCCTGTCTTCAGGATTGTCGAATCGGATAGCAAGTAAAAGAACAGCAAATCTTTTTTTGCTCATGACTGCTTTGAAGATTTCTCTTTCAGTTCCATCTGTTGCAAATAAACGGTCTATATTTTCGTGACTGGAATTGAAAATGGCAGTGTAAACAAGGAGTCCCAAAAATGCTCTTAACTCAATAACATCCATTTCTCTAAGATGATGGATAGAACTAGCAGAATATTTCTCACGCATTGATCGTAATTTTGTGTTTGTATTCTGCTCAATATGTTGTAGAATGTTATCACTAAACAACATATTCCAAACAGACAAGGGTATCGCAGCCTCGCCGAGCATTTTTGCCTTTGTTTTTAGAATTGGCACTTTTATGACAATGTTGTGTTTACGTGTTCTAGATGAGGGGATAACTTCTGACGTACACCACCTGTGTCGATTTTTACCATAAACATAGGTTTTGTCACCATCACTTACTGCTAATTCATCACAATCTGCAGGCTCGTCAGAATCATAAAATTCCGAACATGTATCGTGTTCAGATTCAATGTTATAGTCTTCCGAAATATCGTCTACATCACTGTCACTATCACATTCCTCATTGTACCACTTTAAAAGAGTTGTCTCATAATCGTCATCGCCAAAACGCACTCGTTTTGATGGCCCGGCCATAATTTCTAAAAATGCACGACACACAAAAAAGTCACACCAACAGTCCGGCGTCGTCTAAGAAACTACTCTCGACCTAATTGTTGCGATAACTTTTTAGGAACTGAGAGAAACTTGTCACAAATACACCCACTTATCAAGCTCCAATAGTTTAAGGATTAGATAGAACGACTTAAGATAATTAATCCATTTAGGATTAAATGGAATTTTCTTAAATTCAGGAGTATCTAAGTTATTAAGTTTATTTTGCCATGGATTTATTATATGTGTAATTAAATTTTTTATGTAAAGAAGCCTCAAAAGTGTCCAACAAATTGTCAGGTAGGTGATTGTCCAGAAATTAAGTAACATTATTTATTTGAAAAGTTAAAGATTTAATATCTGTGTGAACCTTAGAAATATGGAAATTAAGTAAGCGTATTCTCCAAATTATTCCAAATATGTTGGAAGTGGTGTCAATGATGAATCGTGGGATTTTCTTAATTCTCCAAGGAGGAAGGTTCTTCTGGCTTCAGCTATTGCTAATTTTTCGGTGAGGTATGTCCATCTCTTCAGCTTCTTCACTGCTAGGTCTCCATGGGTGCGCCTGGTGGTGGCATAGAACCCCTCTGTAACAGAAAGCATCGGAAAAGGAGTACGACCGTCAATCCAATATATTATAAGGATCACTCAGAAGAGTGGTGGGTTCTTATATCGCTCTCAAGGTGGAGAAATAAAAGACATTGATAGGCTACTTTATCTATTTTGAAGACGTTTCGCTTTCGTGTTTTGAGAGCATCATCAGTTCATCTAAAAAGTACAATATGAGAACCACACAATCATGGAAACGATGTTAATGGGTTGTTTTTTCGGTTTAGAATTCAATATATCTTTGCACCTCCATTATTGCTTTACAGCGACTGTTCCCACCAGCAGGTTTAAAATGGGAGGCTTGCTTATCAAAGTTTCCCTAGATAGAAAACTCGTCCTTAGATGAATCAGCATGTAATTGATTTACTGTAGATGTTATTGATTGTTTGAATTTTTTTCTAAAAGATTAGTCAGCAAATTTATGACAAAATTTTTTGATCGCTCAGCAACACTTTCATCTGAGAAACCGATATTTTTAAACCTCAGATCCATAAATGTTGAAACAATTAAACTGTTGCTATTTTCAAAATTTTTGAATCTCACCTGGCTGCTGTTGAAGATAACTTCAACAACTTTTGTCGGTCTTTCGGCAAATGATGTCGATATGATACCGCAATAGAAGCTCTAGCTTCTTCTTTGAGGTTAACAATTCTCTCCAGCATATAATAAACGGAGTTCCATCGTGTAGGAACAGCCTGAATTAATTTTTTGGGATCTTTGCCGTTTTGCTTTTGACACCAATCAAGCTTCTCTTTGGCTAAATTACTTCGCTTGAATAAACTAACGACAAGTTTAACCTTTTCAATTAAAGTTTTGATTGATTCTAGACCATCTTGAGCTATTAAATTAATAGTGTGTACTAAACAACCCAAATGCTTTAATTGTAACTCTTCTAAAATCGCTTTTTTTACATTTGCAGCATTGTCAGTAATACCTATAAATATTTTGTTGTGCAAATCCGATTTAGTTATAACACGTTGTAGTTCATTTGCTAAGTTTACACTCGTATGAGATCCCTCGAACAGAGAAACTTCCAAAAGAATTGACTTAAGTTCGAATTTATCATTTATAAAATGAGCTGTAACTCCCTTAAAACGATCACTATTTCTGGATGACCACATATCAGTAATTATTGTTACCGATTCGCCGGTTGCCATAATTTCTCTAGTTTTATTTAGAGTCTCTAAATATTTGGCAGGAAGTAAAGTCTTACTTAGTGTTTTCCTACTGGGCAAAGTATAACCCACAACGTCCCAAAATTCTCGGAAACCCTCATCTTCCACTATGGAGAAAGGTTGAATGTCTTTAACAATTAAGTTTAAAAGTTTGGCGTCAATAATTTTTTTTGTGTTAAGGTTACCTTTTCAGTCATTTGAAGTTGGGACTGTAACAACTTTCTTTTCTTTGGTATTTCTAAACAAGCGCCACTGGTACTTGGAATTTCTGTATCGGATAATTTTTTTCATCACCTCACCAGTTTCGTCATTGTCAATACGTACGCTATCTTGATTTTTGGTTTTACATTGAACTGATTCATGAAATGTAATAGATGGATGTTTCCTTTGCACGTGTTGACGTAAGTTAGTAATGTACTTGTTTTGTAGGATAATACTTGACTGCACATATTACATTTCGCTCGAGCATCATCTTTGATAGTCAAAAAGTCCCAAACTATGGAAGTTTTTTTTTTAGAATTCATATTTTGTTTAAAATCTAAAAATAATTTATAAATAATAATGGGAAAATATTTAAAAATAAAATGCATGTAAAGGTAAGCAGCAAAATACTTCAATTCCGATTTTTATAATACATATAATAAATTTTCTGCTTAACCCTCTATGGTACCATGTACATTTAAATATACAAATATTATCTCTGGTCTATATTGCTTTATATCGAGCATAAAACAAAATTGGTCATGGTATATTCTAAAATACATGTCGCAGCAACTGTATTATGTAGGTTTTCTGTAGAAAACAAATAACAGCGATAAAAAAAATGGCAACATCGAGGAGGTTGTCTAATGACGTTGCTAGGAGGACTGACCACTTCAGTGAATTATTTGTGGGGTTTTACGCAGGTAAAAATAGAAATAAAATTTAGTATTTAGTCTTGTAAAGTCTTTTGAATAGCAAAGTGTGTTTTTTTTGTGTTTCAATCTTTGACTTGTGAGTAGAAGTAGTGCATATTTTACAACTGTATATTCAAATATATGAGGCAGCTCAAACGCCTCATTGGGGTGGCCACCTACATGATGAAACAGAAGTGAAAAATGCTTAAACTGGCATTAGGGTTATTTCTGAAATGATCTAAAATGATTTGATCATTTCCTCTTCTTCTTTGTAACGGGTTATTTTTTAAAATTAGTTTTGATACTGCACCATATTCATTAAATATTCTATTTATTTTGTTTACCGTACCGCAACTAACACTAGGACGATCCACATGTCTGTCATTAAATATTGTACAAACTTTTCTGGCACTTCTATCGTTATCTCCCAAAAGACGTATAATTTCAATTTTTTCTCTCAAACTTAATCTTGCAGCCATGACACAAAATATTATTAAAATAATTTGAAGTAAATAATTAAATATTGTTGCAGATATGCATAAATTTATGCTAGCAGTGAAATTTGTATGACACAAATGTCAAACAGTAATATCGTTGTCATGGCAACTGAGATTTAAGTTGTAGCATGTAAAGTTAATAATAATGTAAGTGCGTTACTTGCATTAAATTTTTATGCTATTTTAAACATTTTTTTGTCTAGTAGTGGTTTATTATTAAAATTATTTGAAAAATAATTAGTTTTATGGTTATCTGTTGATACAGGGTGTTCTTTTTTGACTCGTAGCTTAGTGAGTTTTAAAATTTTAAGTTGTCATAACTTCGTTATTAATAAATATATTTTAATGAAATTTTTGTCATAGCTATTTGAAGCCACTCTAAATCCAGTGGCGTAGAAATTTTTTTAATAAAAAAATCGCTAATACAAATTCTTCATTTTCGACGAAGAAAAAGTATCGTAGAATGCCCTGAAAATTTAACTAAATATTTCATATTTTGTCCCGCAATAGACCTTTTATTACATGACATTAAAAAAAAATTGGTTAAAATCGGTTAACAACTTCAAATTTTATAGAGGTGTTTCCAATCTAAATGGGTCACACTGTATAAAAGCCTGTGAAATTTGCCAGAAGGTTAAAATTTACAGAAAAAATCTAAGTGGACCATTAGTTATAACGGAAACACCGAAAACGCCATTTGAAAGGATCAACATAGACATATTTGAATATCCTACTAGAAACTATGCATTAACCATTTGAGATGAACTAACTAATTTCACTCAGGCATGCCCTTTAACTGATAAAAAAGCAGGCACCGTAGCGAGTACACTCCTTCTATTTTTCCAACATTATGAAACACCTTTAAGAATACATTGTGACTGTGGTCGAGAATTCGAAAATGTCATAATTAAAGATCTATGCAACCTCTATGATATAAAATTAACATTGTCTAGTGTAAATCATCCACAATCCAATGGATCTGTAGAAAGATTCCATGCCACACTATCATAAATGATCCGAGCAAATACAGCCGAAAATCCCAATGATCACCCATTCGTGATCCTCCCTTATGCAGTGATATGTTATAATAATACAAAAAACAGGACACATGGTTTTACGCCGTACGAACTAGTCTTTGGACATACTGCAGTTCAACCACCAGAAACTTTATATAATCAAAAAAGCTTAATTAGCAAATGTGTTAGAGACCTTAATAACCGTATGGAATACTTTTATAAAGTAGCCAGAGAGAAAACAGAAAAAGCTAAAGAAAGATTTTATGAAAATATTTCAACACAACGCCTTGATTTTAAAATCGGTGACAAAGTATACGTAAAAGAATCCCAAATAAAATCAAAATCTGAAAATTTATTTAATATTATTATTATGTACAATAAATTTGTGCAGGGGTCGCAAAACCCATATGCCCATGTGAATACAATGTTATATAGTGTGTAATTAAATGGTTACATTACAATAGTTACATATTAAGCACTAACTAACTAAATGAATATACAAAACATAGGTAATAGCAAGTGTTTAGTACAAATTAAAGGTTCAACTATGGAACAAATGGTCATCCAGTTTATTTTTGAAAATATTGACAGATGGAGCATCTATGATCTCAGCCGGAAGGCTATTTCATATCGAGAACACTCGATTACAGAGAAAAATTGTCTATACTACGTTCCACGTTTAGAAAATAACATTGCGGAGATAGGGCCATGTATTTCTTATGGACGATAGCAACGCGGCGTTGCCACGACACACACAAGCACAATTTAGGGTTGTATAATTTGTATTTTCGTTTCCACAAACATGAATTAAATTAATGTTTTTTAACGTAATTGACCAAAAGTGCCCATTCGAAACAAGAGATGAAAAGTAGGGAAAATGATTTTAATTAGATAAATAGTATTTACAAAAGATAATTTTATTTTATCTTATTTTAATTATAGTAACGACAGTTTATTTGTTTTTCGGTGAGAATACGATATGCCATGAATCATAGAAATCAGTAGAAAATATTGACCGCTTGGAATGCGTATATCTAATTACTAATTGCAACTTAAAATAATACGATGTGCGTATGTCAGCTATTTTATGTCGTTCTCTGACTACATAATGATAATAAGGCTTTTATTTAGTAGTTATTCTGACTTTACAGTTAAATGTTAATTGAAAATGAAAATTCAAAAATTAAGCAAAGGGAATATCTTGGACATCCGTGCAAAAGAGAGTGTCTGAGAGTTTTGGCAACACTGATCTCCATAAGCGTAATGTTATTTTCTTAACTTGAAACAAAGAATAGTTGTTGTTAAAAAAGTTTTATTTTTAAAATTAAGTTTGTCACCACGAAGACGATTGTCATTGCCTAGTATAAACATATCCCCACATTTCCAAAGTTGTATTTTACTATCCGAAACGTAATAATTAAATCGCCTTGAAGTCGACGTTGTTCAAATGTAGTGAGTTTGACCATATTCAGACTTTAAAATGATATTGCCAATATTGTTGAGTTGCGCTCCTGGGACGACTTTACTTATAAGATAGTTCATTCGATTACATGAAATCAACTTTAACTTGAGAATATCCGTCAGAAAAAAATCATAGCATGTAATTCGTCTTTAAAAAGACAAACACATGACATGATGACAGTAAAATTCTCCTGTTAGTGATTCCATAGTAAATTATGAGGGAAAACCAGGAAAAAAACTTCATAATACTATCCCGACATTGTAAGTATTTGTTCGTGAATTTAGTTTACCTTCAACAAACATCAAAATTCTGATTTTATATGTTACGTTATTTAAAAAACATAAATGATGTATCCTCTATATGTTACTGACTTACTAATACTGGTATTTTCTTATTAATAACTTCCTCTTTCAATATTGGTAACCAGATCCTACTACATTCTGCCGAGGAATTTGCGACACAATTGGCCTCATTTAGCATAATTAGAGCCGCTTCTTTGATTTTTCTTTTTTTACCATCCGTTTCTTTTAGGACTACATTTGAATTACTCCATTGAACCCTTTGTTCATTATCCCATGCGTGTTTACAGATTTGAGATCTATCAAATTCTTTATTTTTAATATAAAATTGATGTTCACTTATTCTAAGATTTAATGGCCTTGATGATTCACCTAAATAAAACTGATCGCATTCACAAGGTATTTTGTAAATGCAATTCTTTGTCCTTTCTTGTTCATTGTTAGGTTTGGTTTTGGACAAAATAGATCTCAACGTGTTTGTTGTTTTGAATGTTGTTGAAATGTTGAATTTATTTCCTATCCTTTTAAGTTTTTCTGATAGTCCTTTTATGTACGGTATTGTTATTTTCCTCATATTATTCCTTGTGTATGCTGTAGCATCTCGTTCTAAGTTGTTCTGTTCTATTCGATCGATTGTTGAAAATTCCTTATTTATAAACGATAAAGGATAATCATTTTTTAATAAAACAGATGTTAACAAATGTTTCTCCTTTTTTCTATACTTGCTCAGGGACCCCTCTCTTTCCCATCTCATGTCCTGCCGCATATATCATCAAGGCTTGTGCCCTTCCTGAACATGCCTCTTCACTGAACTCCTCTATTGTTAGAGTTGTGTCACACTCCCAGAGGGGACCTGGGTGGTCAAATCTATGGCCTAAAATCCCTTGTGTTTTCTTGTCATAGCGATAGATCAATGCTTTCAACAGACGGTGGCTCTCATGCTCCTTATGTAAAGTAG